TTTTGTTCAAGCCAGTCAGAGAATCCATAAGACTGCGACCGAATCCCCAGCGAACTACCAACTACTCGCTCCATGATAACTACATATGTTTTAACTATTTACCCGGAAGCCCGAGTTTATAGTTTCAGTGTTTATTAGAAAATCCACCACAAATAACTGATTGTGGGGATCTGCTACAAACGTAGCCAAACGATTGCTGTAAACAAATCGGCTATTTGAAATGAATAACATCGTAAGTGACCTCATTCTTTGCTGAATATCCTTTTGATGAATGCAATGATATTTCTTTTCTTTAAAGGCTTTAGAGTTGTTCTGTATTCCTCCATGTCTTCATGTTTGTTCAACTACTTCATATATTCGTTTTTTATTATTCCACTCTGTCTTGCACAACGGACCAATTTTTACCCATTCCGTTTTGTCATCACTTAGTCACTGACGAGCCACGGGTGATGACAGACCTTGGCTCGTATGACTAAGAGGCGGAAAGAACCAGGATAGGAAGTAGTTTCTGATGCAGCTTTACCAAATGTTTTTCTTAATTAGTTTCGAAGTGTAATTCTTCATGGTTTATTGCTTAGATCCCTTTGCTACTCAACCCCTCACTTCGATGCATTGTGAAAATCGGATTCGAAGCCTTGAAGGCACAGTAAACAATGTAAATGGTTTTGAGACGAACATGTGACTCCCAAGTATGCCATGAGCATGAGTCATGGTGTTGGATCAAAAAGCGGATTAGAAGGGAACAGTAAGGGCTGAAAGATCGACTTCATAGACTTTTACAGGAGGACGTGCTCTAGCGACGTTGTAGAGGGTGCACCATTCGTAGTGGAGCGCATATTTGGATTTTCAATCAACTAGTACCCTAGATAGAGAGAAAAGCAAATTCGGGCATTATGCTTACTGTAGCAGGCTCTTTTTGCAACTGAACGCCACTGAGTACTCGCTTTCTCCTCTACCGGCGCATTATTTCCTCCTCAAATCATCATGTACTGGACCTTTAAGAGCCGGTAGGGAAGAGGAATTATCGCACAATTGAAGTCAGCTTACTTTTTCGCTCTAGATCCGAGGATAATGGATGAACACGAAATTATTTCCTTCGCCTCTACTGTTGAGCTCATTATGGGAACAGTCCTGAATATCATTTTCATCTATGCGATAAGGAATGGAACACGACATGCTGTTGGTCAAATCTACAAACATATGATGACTTGCTTCGCGATATGCAATATCGCTTTCGTATTGACAGAATTCACTGCCAAACCTGTAAGATGAATTTTTTACTCCTTGATAATCGATCAGTAGGTGCTGAGGAAACAGTCCGAGGCAATGAACGTACTTTCAACGTCTGGGCCACTGCTCAATGACAATTCAGATTATCTACATATATGGCACCTCTCTGATGACATTCAGTCACGGTCTTTTTGAACGAGCAAAGCCTTGGGGTCTTCTTTCCTTGTGCCTATTCATGGGGATGTATGGCATTAATACAGCTCTTCTATCACTTCACTTCGTTTATAGGTACATTGCCGTGTGCAGGTCAGTGCTCTATTAATTGGTAACTACTAAGTCCTGTGAAAGCAGTGTCAGTAAATAAGTGATAAGATTAAATTTGTTCGGATTAAAAGAGACATATTGCTAAATATTAGGTTATACTATTAAGTTGCCTCGAAAA